TTGGAAAAAATGGCACGTGTTTTTCTGGTTCCTTGGTAACAAGTGGCCCCTAGGATGTGGTTCCTGCCCTGGAGGAGGGAGTTTTCTCCGGCGGGCTGGGGCTCCCAGCTGCTTGGCCTTGTGGCAGGTGCCCCTGCGTTTCTGGCACGAGACACCAGCTTCCCCGCTCCTGCCTTGGCAGCATGGGGCCCCTGTGTCTGAGAGTGTGTTTGGGGGTAGAAGGAAAGCTTTTCACTTTCCTGCCTAACCTTAAATGTTTATATGCTTACAAAAATCACTAATCAGCTTCTCATTGGGCTGAGGAGCATGATACCAGTGGTTAGATATTGAATCTCTATTTCATCATATGCCGCATGACGCTGTTCTTATGCTTCTGCAAGATCCTCTTGTTTTGTAGTAGTGTCATAAACTAGTTTGCAGTGATAAATCCTAATGTATTTGCTGTTATATTTATTCATGACCATTTTATTTGTTAAGCTATATTTGTTACTGTAACATAGTAATCCTTCCCTGCCTTTTACCCACAAGCTTCTTGCTCTCAAAAACCTCCAAGATTGATTATCCTTCCAAAAACCTTCATCACTTTTGGGAGGCGAGAGTTTCCAGGTAACAAAAAGGAGGGTAGCTTGTGTTAAATACTTTTTACCACAGGCCTATGATGAACGTGATCATTACCAAGTTGGTTATAACTTATTGTTATTGTGGTATCATGTTGCTGTTATATTGTAACGTGCTATTCACACACACATACACAAAATTCTCTTTGGCTTGATTTTCGAAATAATCCTGCATTACTGGGGAGCTGCTTGGCCACCTGGGTTGCTCTTGGCTGCTGAGTGTGGTTGTTCCTGTGGTTCGTCACCTCTCTTCCAACAGGGGTGAGGATGTAGTGCCTGGCTACACCTGGATAACCAGTGCCAGGAACACCTGGATAACCACGTGAGAAGCAGGGGCCGAGCCCTGGGAGGCTGTGTGTCTGTCGCCGCTGCGCAGAAGGAGTTAAATGCACAAGTGTTTAAGGCTCTTAACAGGGCCTGGCAGCCTTTTTATTCTACCTGCAAAATTGCTCAGATTCACATGTTAGATAGTTATGTACTATCTGAATGACCCAAAATACCGTGGAAGTTATGCTTCAGATATCTAATCCTACCTGACAGGAACAGCAAATATAAAATTGATTTTACGTGTTCCGACAGCAGTCTGAATATCGTCCTGACAGACATGGTGTAAGTAAAGCTAATTAATTCAGCTTTGGTAAACACTTTCTCAGTAAAAGTGCCAGCATAACTATGTGCAGTCTAGCTCATAAAGTTGATTAAACTGCTTTGCTATCGCACCAGGAGGTTAAACATCAGAACTAAGTTAGTATAACACACCATGTGGCCCAGAAACCTCATGCAGGCTAAGCAAATTGGCCAACTGTTTGCCTAAAAGAGCTCTTTATTTTCAGCCCGAATAGAATGGTTCACTCAGGCTCCACGTTTCTCTTCAGTCCTTGTTTTGGCAGTAAATTGATTTTTCTCCCTCTGCAGTCTGTACTTGCAATACTTAGTGCTGCAGCATCCAACTGCTTGCGCCATGAGGAGCGGAGCTGAGGAGGCCGCTGCTGCACGTGAGGATTTCCTGTGATCTCTGTGCCCCTCTTGCTGCTGTCCGGCCGGCTCAGCCCTTGCTGCCCGTGGATAAGAGCAGCTCGCAGCGCGTGCGAGGCGGCTCGGTTTGGGGCTGTGCACGGAGGGAGAAGGGGCACGGGAAAGGAGAGAGGTGCGAGGCTGGCCTGAAAATAGCCGTGCCCTAAACTGAAGCTGCCGCTGATCCAATTTAAAGTTGTTTTAACAACTCGGTGAAACTGTTGTGACTCTGCAAGTTGCAGCAGAGGTTTAAATCTCTCTCTAAGCTTGTGTAATCCAGATGCAGCTGGATTGAGACACAAGTTTCAAAAATGAAAGCAGTTAAATTTTAGAGGTAGGGAGTTAATGCACCATGATCTTGGGCTTTTCTGCTGATTTAATTCAGCATCAGTCCTTGTTGCTGTTGAAAGCAGTGATCCTGTTGTTTTTTCTCCTGTTGTCCTTCCATGTCAGTCTTTTCTTTTTGTTCCTTCCTTTGTGTCTTTGTGTCCCTTCCATGTGAAGACGTACCCAGGAGTTGGGCCAAGGAACTGATCTGGATGGGAAGGCAACTAGGCAAGAACTGTTCCTGTGGCCTGGCTAGGAAGGTAGTGGTCAGTAGTGGGTCATACCCAGCCTAGAGGAGTAAGTTGAAGCAGAGGACGTTTAATGTGGATGCAAGGAGGAACATTTCCTCGTGCATGCAGTGCCCGGAGACGCTGTGCAGCCCCTGTCCTTAGGATTTTTCAAGACCCGACAGGATAAAGCCCTGAGCCTGTTCCCAGCAGGCAGCAGAGCTGTTTGTATCGGAGACCTATGGAGGTCGCTACTGATCTGAATTATTCTCCATTTCTGTGATCCTATGGGACCAACCGGCAGTGGTTGGTTCAGCCAGCCACTAGTTGCAAGTATCCCTGTGGACAAGTTGGTGGCAATACAGGGGGAACTGTCACCCTTCGCTTTAAGGTTGCTCCTCGGTGCCTAAACTGCATCCTGCCTCCTGTTGCCGTGGGCGAGGGGCGCGCGTGGCTGGTCCCTGTGCCTTGGATAGAGCCAAGCTGTACACGTGAGGACGTTGGCTGGTTACTGGCTGATGCTTAACCACAGAGTGCCGAAAGGCACGTCTAGACTGTTGCAATTGTCCTTTGGTTTTATTTTTTAGTTATTTTCAAGCCAAAAAATGGTTTCGTTATGGTTCAAGTGACTCGTGCGCAGTGGATTTTGGTGGTTTTTAGAAATGGCAGTTCTTTGCAGTAGCAAGCTTAAGACACCACGAAGCTGTAAATAACCCCGCGTACAAAGACGAGGTGGCGCGGACAGTTGCTCTCTCTTCTCCTCAAGGTCGTCCAAGAGAACAGCCTTTTCTAGCAATGAGTCCCAGAAGCTAAATGAAGAAAAGAGCAAAGTTAATCACTTTGTTTTGAAGTGGCTCATTTTATTTATTGTAGCACATCTATAGAATAAGCAGGGGTTATAGTTTCTTCCCAGCATCTGTTGCTGATTAGAAAGCCAGTGTAAATATGGAGCTTTAGGAGTTCCTGCTCTCCAGGATTTTTCTTTTAAATAATGAAATATTTCCTACAGAAGAAGAAAAGGGCTAGGAAAGAGAATATTCTTAAACTTCAGCCAAGGAGCATGAGGGATTGCGTCAGTTTGGGAATCCAATGATTTTCATTTTGTACTTGTATGGCAAACTTGAGCATATTTTAAGTTGCACAACTTTGAAATGAATTTTATTTTCTCTTTGATCTTGGAATGATGAGACCTGTGAATGTCATCACTGTATTTCTTTATTGAAAATATTGGTTTGCACTGAGCCCTTGCTTTCTTTCACTTAGTACTAAAAATGTGCTTGTCTTAGTGGTACTTTATGATTTCCTGTGGGTCCATTCTGTTTTACTCATTTGACAGAAAAAAAGGACAATTAAGATTTCATACTGTTTCACTCATTTGACACCAAAAAACGTATCTCTAAAAGTATGGAAGTTCTTCACGTGCTTTTTCCTAATAGGCTTTTATGGCCTAATCTAGGCAAAAACCTAGTTCAAATCCAGCTCTTTATAGGTTTATTCTGATAGTGCTGTTGGAGAGTTGTTTGGTTGTTTTTATTTTTGTATTACCATGAAGCAGGTTTGATCCTTAGTTTTCTAACTTTATGCTCTCTGGTGCTTGCTTCTGAAATCTAGATTTGTTATTCCTAAGGCAAACCATTTCTGGTATTGCTGTATACTGATACTGGTATTAGTTTTGTTTTATAATAATAAAGGAGAAAATTTAAGTTATACTATATTGAGTAGAACTGAGCTTGTCTGACCATGGTTTGTCTATTTATGTATTAGGCAATGCTATGTCAGACAGTTATGCCAAATCCTCATGGATAAAATGTGCATGTGTTGCGTTCCTAGAAAACTAGAAGCGTTGTTGCATTTTATGTTTAGGCTTGGAGTGCTGTAAGAGAGGCCTTTTTTTTTTTTTTTTTTTTTTTTCTTTTTAAATTTCAGCTTCAGGCTTTTGAATCATCATTCTACTGGGTTATATAAGTATGATAAATAGAAAAGTTTATTTTCTTTTAATTCTTACTCTGAGGGGTCTCTTTAGACACCTGGTCCATTTTTGACTCAAGAGTAGGGTTTTTCATGCCCCACTGTTTTAGGAGGACACAGACATGGGACATACTTGTCCCATGTCTACAGTCTGCAGCTGGAGGTCTTGGATACTTCATGCTGCCTAAAATGGCCTCAGACACCTGTGTTTGGGTGCCTAGGTAGCTTTTCAAACGTCTGTTTCTTATCAGTTGTTTACAGATGGTTATACAGGATTATAATACAAATTATTGTCCTTTTTATCCACATATGTTGTTAGGATCCACTAAGATTTAGTACTTGAAAGCAGTAGGGTTGGCAGTTTCCTTGGGCAGTGCTTTATCAGGGTGACGTTGTTGGTCAATTCCAGCAATTCCTTCCAGTTTTACAGGAAGTTTGGCCCAGGACTTTACATAGGGTTTTACAGGGACATCAGCAGAAAGGAAGGTGTCTGTTTTGGACAGAGGTCTATTTGAGACCAAGCAGCAGAGAGAAGAGGTAAAAAATGATGAGGGGAAGAAAAAAAAATATATATTTTTTGTCAGGGTTGATATTACAGTTGTTTGAATGACATCAAGCCTAAATCAGTAGGCAAGGGGCATACTTTGGTAAAGAGCATAAGTAGAAGGCACAGAACTTAAAATGCTTTGCATTCTATCAAGTTATATAAACTACTGACTTATTAAACTCATCCTTTCTTTAAAATGCTAAGAGAGCTTGCTAAGGGGAGGGGGGAATGTCAAATGAAATGGCTGCAGCAGCGTTATGTAACAGAGTTAATTTCAACCTACACTCTGCTTCTCTGCAGAAGAAGTTGAAGAAGAGTCTGAAACCACAATTGAGGTTGACTTGACTGATAAACAGAAACATCAGTTGAAGCACAGGGAGCTGTTCCTTTCGCGCCAGTATGAGTCTCTTCCTGCAACACACATCAGGTAAGGAGAAGCAAACATCATTGATCAGCGTGCTCCGCTGAGGCGCCCTGCCTGGCACAGCCCCCCCAGGAGAGCCCTTTGCCTCCATCCTGTGGAAGGATGGGTCTGGTCACAGCTGAGACGCTCCAGTTGTTCCCTGAGTTCCATCCACCACCTGCTGCTGCTTGGTGGAGTGGGCAAGGTTCTCGAGCACAGCTCCGGCTTGTCCAGCAGAGCCTCAGCTGGTAACAGTCAGTCAAGTCAGTCTCTTCTTGCTTAGGAGAGCTGTGTTTTGTTTCTTTTTTTGGGGGGGGAGGGGGAGGTTTGGTTTTATTGATGCTGTTTTTACCATTTTGTCTACCCAGGGAAATTACAGGCAGGTTCAGAAAGGAGGCAGTGGCTCTGTGGTCAAGTTTGAAATTGGGGGCTGCGGGCGTTCACAGATAAAATTATCCCAACTTTAGGAATTATGAAGAAATCTTGATTGAGTTTGGCTGCATGTTGTGAAAGCATTTCAGATACTGTGTCCTTGGAAGCATAATTTTAATTCTGAAATGTGTTAAAACTTTAACCAAGAGGTTCAAGTTTGTCATGCTCTCTTGTGCTTTTTTTTCTTTATATCGAGTTAAATTGCCCTAATGCTAAAGCCGAAAGCGGCTTGCTGAAATCACAGAAGGTTTTGGTGATTTAAATTCTGTAAATGATGTAAGCACTCATGTAATTTCCCATTGAGTAGTCAAGTGAACTCTGCGTTTTCTGGGAAACGTACCCAAAAATGGAGGCGAAAGGTAAGAAAGAGCATGGTGACAAATAGAGGGGGAGTGCAATGAGTGTAAAGCAGCAACTCTTTTAGGTTGATATTCTGAAGGAATTTATTTTCTCAATGCATCTGGCTTGCTTCAGCCATTTTTAGACCATAACCTAAAAGCTGTGAAAAAGATAGATGTACTTATCTGCTCCAGGAGGAGCAATACTTGTGTGTGTGTGTGTGTGTGTGTGTGTGTTTATGGATGAATTTTCTTTCCTCGGCAAAAGTCTTTTATTCCTTTTCTACTGCCAACACAAAAACTAGAATTTGGAGGATTTTTATTATCTTCCTCTACCTGTTTGAATTTGTTCTCTGACTTTCTAAAAGTCATTTAACTGTCACACCTCAGCTTCCACAACCATAGCGTAGAGATGATAAATACTCAGATTCTTTTCCTTACTTTGACATTTGGATGTTGAAGTAAGGTATTATCATCAGATATTCTCCGAGCTGAGAGAAGGTAACAGAGAAGCTTTGCAAGTATTTTATAACCTCCCTGCTCAGGCAGCAAATGCAGTAGAGGTTCTCCAGTATGCACCTCACGAGGGATCCGGAAAAGCTTGTGGGGAATTCCTAGTACATGTAGCACCACTGCAGACAGACACAATGCGAGTGATACAATGAGCTGCTCCTCAGAACAGATGGGTGCTGTAGTGCTGGGCTGTCACGTGTTACCAAGACCCTGGCCAGGGTGTTCCCCAACAAATCTTACCTGATCTAACGAAGTTTCAAAACAGAAGTAAGGTTATGAGTAAGATTTAAAAAAAAAAAAAATTAAAAAATAATAATAACAACAGGAAGGAAAATACACTGTAAAGTGTTTAATCAGCTCAGTAGCTTGTTTGCTTATTAGTGTGAAGATTCATTAATTCTTAATAGTTTTCATAACTGTTAATTATTTTGTACTGTGAAGGAGATGATGTTGAGAAAATAGTGTTGTACCTTTCTACCGATAGCACTCTGGAAAGAAAGATCTTTTAAGAATTGTAAAATAATGTCTTTTTGATGGAACATCTACAGGTCACCTACTGCAAATCTCATTCAAGGCATGGCCACGTAGATCTGGTTGTTCCGGACCTTGCCCACTTGAGATTTGAACATGTAGATAGAGATTCTACAGGCTCTGTGGATATCTGTTCCAGAGTTTGACCACCACCACCACCATGGTGCATCTTGGTCCCCCCTCTCCGGCCCTCCCCCATAACCGGGCATTTTCCTGCTTGGAACTTGATATCTGTTGCTTCTTGCCTTTTCAGTGGGCTTCTCCAGAACCAGCTTACCTTTGTCTTATTTATGTACCTTTTCTTCAAGCAGCTGAAGACAGCAGTAAGATATTTTTCCCCCCTTAGGCATCTTGCCTTTGGTATGAACATTACCAGTTGCACAATATTGGGCCCTGATATCAGCTCCTGGGAGATACAGCTGGTAATCAGCTTGATGTCCACATTGGACTTGGTACTACAGGTTACAGCCCTTCAAGCTTGGTGGTCCAGCTCATTTTCTTACAACCCTTATCTTCTATTTAACCAATCCATGTCTAATCAATACGGTTAAGGGGCACTTGGGGGTGTTCTAATGAAGGCCTTGCTAAAGTCAAGGTAAACAACGTTCACTGCTGTCCCTGACTCACCAAGCCAATCGTCTCCTTAGAAAAGACCCAACAGATGAACTGGGCACAGTTTGTGCCAGGTTGACTCTTCCTTGTTGCCATGTTCTTCATTTTAGATCCTTAGGCAATAGGAGCCTGAGTAGCTCTGTGGGCTTTTCTTAATTCCTACTGCCTGTGATTTTGGCATCCAGATGGGAAAGGTTTGCAGGAGAACAGAAGCAATACAGTGGAACAGAGTCGAGAATGGAGATAAATGCTCTCAGGAGTAGGGAGATAAAAGCTCAGTTCTTCTGAAAGAAGCAAGTGGAGAAACCTGAAAGTGATTTTAAGAGCATGGAGGAACCTGAATCATTTACAGTTGTTTTGGCAACTACAGGTCTTACACTTTTACTGACCTCTTCAAACAAGAGTAGAAACAACCTGAATTTGTTTGCTTTTTTGCTTGCTTTTTAAGAAGATGAAATAATTTTCATTTTATAATTTTTAGTCTTGTATGGTGTATTGCAATTTACTCTTTACCAATAGAGGCTTTACAGCTTTTGTTTTATCTTTCTTTTAACTTTACTCTTTTTAGCTTTTCTTAATAAGAAATGTCAACCCTCTGAAAAAGAGGAAAACCTATGACTGAAATTGCTTTTATTCCAATTCATAATTGTAAACACAGTAATACATAATTTATACACATGCATTAGGTGTCGCTCCTTTTAGTTGCAACACCTTACTGTTAGATTTCTGCAATGTGTAAGTTTAATTCTGAACCTCTTTGATTTCTCACGTTGACTTTGAGGTAAGTTAGATGCAATTTGCTTGCTTTTGAATTATTGAAATACGATTTCATTCTTTCTCCTCATTCTCTTACTGTTTTTTTTATTGTATGTGTGTGGTATAATTATATACAGCTTTCTTGAAGTAAAATCATCTTTCACTTTGATGTGAACATTGGGATTTGTGAACTGGGATTTGGGATTTGTGAACTGGCCTATAGTCTTCCTTCCCTTTTACATTAGCTATCATTATGCCATTTTAGTGGCTGTAAGAAGTGCTACAAGCTTTGACTGCCAAATGCCAGATTTATAAAAGTAGTGGTGGGTGATGCAGCAGTTGCTGGATGTGGCATTACCAAACTCAGCGTTTTGGAAAGACATTCAAAGGTTCAGGACAGAACAATCCTTCCAATTCTCATTATGGTGAAATAGTTTGCCAGTGTTATAAAACTCGCCATACAATTTACTTGCCACATGGTGAAAAGGTGAAAAGGTGAAAAGGAAAAGCCAAATGTTTGTATGAAAATCTGTAGATAATTAGCGTTCCGGGGGAATGCACTGCATTGATTATTTGACTGTGCTTTATTCTTTTTGTTCCTAAGGTCCCAGAATTCTGTTAGTTTGTCATGATATTTTAACTGCCTTTCAAAGTTCATACTTGAAGTTGTGTTATATTGTTAATTTTGGTAATATTGTGTATATTTTTCATTTTCCATCACTATTTGTATTAGTTTGTTATCTTTGTTTAATTCTCATTAATAACTATTTGTTTCAGTGCTGAGATTAGTCTTGTGATGTTTTACTTTGCTTTTTCAGGTTTGCTTGGCTTTAGATGCGCCTTCCATTCTCAGCTGTCCTAACAAAGTCAGTTTGAATCTGTTGGGCTGTTCAGTGCTGCAGTTACTAAAATAAAACAATAAATAATAATTAAAAAATCATGAAATAAAATGAAGCTTGTATTATTTGAAAACAGACCGTCTGTGTGTAGCTTGAGACAAGAGAAAAGTTTTAATGTACATTGGATCTTGACCATTTATGGGGAGAAAACGGACTTCAATAGATTTCTGATACCATATTGACTTTATAATTGGTTGATAATTTTATTTTTTTAAGAACAAAAAATAGATCGTTGGCAGGCTAGATAGTTCTTTCTTACTTACAGTAGGAAAAAAAAAAAAAACTTAAGTAAAAAAAAAAGTCTAGAAAATTTCTTACTGTTCACCAGTCTTTCAGGTAAGTTCGAGCATGTGAATACAAGTTTTAAAAGTATTTGCTGGGGACTTGAGAATACTGATATGAGCTTGTAATGATCTTGTTGCTCTTTTGGCAACTAAAAACAGGACATGCCTGTTGGTGTGGGTTTTTTTTTTTTCCCTTTATTCCAAATTTTCATGCTTCAATTAAAGTATACTTTGAGTGAGACATCCATGCATGATTGAAAAGTTCCCAAGTGGTGTAATATTTACCATTTCTTTTTGTAGTTTTGTCAGTTGTTGATACTGCTTACACTCTTATGAAACATGGAATTCTGGTCAAGTAGTAGCCTAATTTTTTGTTTTGTTTTGTTTCCTGGAGATTGTTTTCACTGAGCACCTCGTGCTTTTCTTGGACGCAATTTCAAGATGCTGAAGTTCTTGTTGAGCCTGAGTGCTGGACTCTATGGCTGTGTAATAATGTGTAATATCAATGCATTATGCATATAATGTATATTATACTGACTATATATGATGATTATATGATATATTATACTGATTATACTGAAAATTACTATCAAAACCTATTCTTAAACACCTAAAAGTGTGGAGAGTCTGTTTAATCTGCTATTGGGTGCACCAGTTGT